CTTGACATCCTTCACTGCTGCAAACTTAGTATGAGCAGATACTGCTCATACTACTGGTAAGCCAACAGGCTTAATTGACATAGCTCGCATGTTAGTGGGTATGATGTTCTCCACTGGGACATCTTCAACATCTTCAATGTTGGCAGACTTTTGCACTGAAGGATGATTGAACTCTTCATCCTCCATGTCATAGTTGCCTGTATCATCCTCAGGATGAAGATCACCAGGTTCATCATCTAGATGAGGTCCCATCAATATGGCATGTACACCATCATCCTTGAGGATGTATTCTAAACCCTCCATCATTTTGGGTGCTGTGAGATGCACACCTCTTCATTGAGGGCAGGTATTCACCCAATGACCAGACTTATTACAAATGTAACAAGTCAGGTCTCCTCCAGACTGGGGTTGTTTTGACTTATTGTTGACAGGACAAACATTGTCCCTCTTGATTCCCCCAGATGTACCAGGGGTTGGAGGTCTCCTCCCATAGTTTACAGGATATGTCTCTTTCTTGGGAGTTACTCCCTTCTCCATGGGAGCCCCTCTAGAAGGGCCAGCTCCCAGTTTAGGTGTTTCTGGGCACCTAATCTCATATTGTATTAGATGATATGACTGGCTGGGTTGAGGATATGATCTCCTCACAGGTATTGAACTACCTGTTGTTGTCCCTCCATAAGGGGACAATGTTTTGGACATATTCCTATATGCCTGTAACCCTTGTGCCATGTTGAGTCCTCTCTGAGACTCAATGGCATGAGTAAACAAAGTGTCAAATGTCTTGTTGTCAATGCTGTAACCCAACTCAAGCACTTTGGTGCTTATCTCTTCATTCAACCTGAAAAGGAACCTCCTTTTAATTTGGAAGTCATTAGGACAGTCATGCATCCTACTCATTATGGACATTAATTTGTCCTTATACACTTCAACAGTGTCTCATCCTTGCAACGAGCTGTTGAAAGCACCATATGCTTTCAATGTTTCTTCTGCTGAGAAGAAGTGATTGTATAATCCCCAGATCATCTGGGAAAACATCCATTGATCTCTAGGTGTCTTACCTGGGTCAATGTTCTGCTCTACCCAATGGTGTGCTTTGCTGGTCACATGTTGACTCGCATAAGTGATTTGCCAATCACTAAAGTCAGGCCCAGTCATTCCTGCCATGCAAAACACCATACCAGTGTCACGAGAAATTCATAGAATTCTCAATGTCTGATTCACCTCCATAGGAGGTTTTCAAAGCCTTAGGCTTCAATCCCATCTTAGAAGATGGGATATGATTACTCACAGGCTTCCTAGACATCTGTAACCATCTATCTACCCTCCACATAGGAGTGGTGGGAATTGTTGATCCTCCTAGAAGATTGTCCTTGCTCCTAAACATAGGAGTGCTGTAATGTCCATGAGTAGTGGATTTTTGGTTTGAATGTGTGGAACCATTGGGGAGGTCCCCAAATGGGAACTTTGGTGTGTATGGACTCTCTTGGTCCAAATCAAAACAAATGTTTGGGGAGGGCTCTTTCCTCATCTCCATACTGGGAGGGGTGGGAGGGACTCTTAGCAGGGTCTCTTCTAACTCCATAGTATCCTTAAAGGATACTCTTTCAGGATCTGCTTTAGATCCTTCTTCCCCAGAAGGGATTCGTGAATGTGGTGAGTTAGGCAACATCTGCAATCCCATCCCAAATTGGGAGAGACTTGGTTGTGGCCCAAAGCCATAGACCACATCTTCCATACAGAGACTCATCATCTGCCATCCCATTTCCACATACCTCTGTATGCATTCCGGGTTCTGACTAGCCATAGCCAGAGTGTTAAGCTCTGCAATCAAGCATTGCAAAGAGTCCACAATGTCAAGCATCTGACTCAATTTTGCACAGGGGTCTAATTGATCCCCTGTTTCAATTGGACCAGTTATGATCTGACTATTGCTTCTATTTGAAGCACCATTGACCCAGTAATCCTCATCCAATAGCATATTGGAATCCTTGGTTTCCATTTGCTCTCTTTGAGCAGCAAGATCAGTACTTTGATCTCCTTGCATGGGTTCCTGTTGCCCAGAAACCCATTCTGAACTATTTCTGAGTTCAGAAAAGCTCAAAAAGCCTGGTACAGTTGTGGGAGTATCCACAACTCCAGGTCCTGAGCTGCCTTTAGGACTGACCTCAGTCTTTCTACTGGGTGGAAGGTGTCCCACCATTTTTCAGTTGGTCTCCATAATACAGAGACTAGAATCTGACATGGAGCACTTCTTGCTCTATTCCTTTATAAACTCCACTTGTTGGAGTCATGTAAAAAAGTGAAAGGGCTTAAGGTGCCCTTACACCCTCAATACATATGTGGAACAAATGTATTACTAACTAGTAGTAATACATGTGTGTAGCAAAAGGGATAGAGAGAAGGGTGGCCTACAGCCACCCACTACGTGTCAGTCCATTGGACAATCAGGATTGCCTCTGCAAGGCAATCCTACCTAGAAAGGAAAGAATGGGGTCATATATGGACCCTTGCAGTGCCCTACTGTACTGGGATGCATAGGTGTGCAGTGTCACCTGTCACCAGCACCTGGCACTGTGCACTTTTTGCCCAGTCACCACACTTTTTTCAGATTGCACACTCTGGAGGATGAGATGATTGTAACCAACTCTCTGCTCTCCTCTATGTTCACCTGAGGTGGTCAATGTAATTTGCACACTGTCACTGCTTGAGATGAAAACAGCATGCTCACCCTGGCTGAAATCTGATCCTGTGGAGGCAAGTCCATTTGAGGAAATGCACACCTACACAGCCTGGTACAGTATTTTGGCTTCTTTCAGATGCTCATAATAATGCCACACCCAAGGGGTCATTGAGGGCTTTAGGGGGCCCAGAGGGCCATTCTGGCGACTTTGCCTCTGAATTGGGGTCATCAGAGGAATTAACTTGCTTCTATTATACCCTTCTTTGATCCACTGCATTTCATGGGTACTTTGCCTAGGATGGTGCAGGTATGACAAGACAGGGTTTAGTCACCCGGACTGAACATCAGAATAGGCAAAATTGGCTGGACAGGGTTATAGCTTTAGATTGGTTGTCTGGAATAGCATAAACTAGGTTTTATGTAAAAATGGTCTTGCTTAGGCAATGTTAAGCCTGAGAAAGACCATCTGGTCCACCTTGGATGACATTAATTGATGTGTTACCAAGCCCTCAAGCCAGCTTGAATAGCCTCATATAAGGTAATCATGTTGGTCAATGGACCCACACAATTATTTCATTGTCAGTGCTAGTGCACAGGTATAATATCATACAGGGAACACCATATGCAGTCCTAGTGTATTAGATGAGGGGGGGCTCCCCCCCCCCCTCAATGTCATCCCAAATCTCTCTGGCCGCCTGCTCAGCTTCTCCCAACCCCAGCAGGTCATGCACCATGTGCTCCAGTTCTCTGTAGCCCAACAGCTTGAGGATTGCTGATAAACCTGAAGCCACAATAAGCATAGTTATACTGCAAAGTTGAGTGAAAACTTACCCATGATGCCAATGACATGGGCAATATCCTTCACATGTGCCTTGACCCAGGACTTGACTGCCTTCCAGGACACCCTTCTCAGCTCAACAGACCTTCGACTCTTCTGACATATCCACTTCTTCACCTTATTGTTGCAATAGGTGAAGCATGTGTGCAAGTTGTCCATGTGGACCTTGAGCATGACAACCACTTTGCTCCTGCATTGGGTGTCTGCCTCCCTTGATTTGAGCACACTGAGGTTGTAGCCTTCCCTCTGGGCTTGGAGCATCCTCTTCTCATGCTCACAGCAAAGGATGATCTTCTTACCCTCTTTGGTCTTGAAATGGCACTTGGCAAGTGTCAGGGCACCAGCTCATTGCTTGGTCAAGAGACATGACTAAGCCTTTATGACATGGAAGTAGCTTGGTATACCTTGGCATGTGCTGGAACCTGCTGGAAGGATTGGATGGTCAGGTGACCTGCTGTGCATGGCTGTGCATGACCTCATATGACCTCATCCTTGATCATATGACCTGATCACCTGACTAGGCTGAGCAAGCAAGATGTTCTAGCAGGTTCCACCACAGAGGTATAAATATAAGGCCTACTCTGCCTGCGGACTGTCTCTTCAGACTTGGTCTCTTAGGATCATCCACAGGTACCTATACTGGAGATAGGTCTTAGTCATCAGGTCTACTCCCACTTCCTTGTTGCCTG